ATATATATATATATATATATATACACAAATTTTAGAGGAATGAGGCATATTAGAGTCACTTAGGTGCGCTAAGTTTTACATTCCGTAATGAAAGACCTTAAACAATATAAATTTGGGCTCCAAAATTTTCGAGTCCTCATTTAAAATCACATATTTTACATGATAAAGAACTGCTAACAACAACCTTTTTTCCTCAACTGGTTTTTATCCTATATTATGAAATTCAATAAATTACGAACTTTGCATTTGGTTTGTGGCCTTTGATGTAGTCGTTTGGTCAATCAAAATGTCTTAGTTATGGGTTTACTTTTATCTTGCAATCATCTATCAGCTACAACCTTTTTTAAAATCATAAAGTCTTGATACGTTAACTTCTTTAATATTGATTATACTGAAATCCATTTTTAACGATATTTTTGTCGTACAGGCAATTTTACGTGTACCTATACTAATTCTAGGGGTTATGAATAACAATCATTGAAACCCTAGTGATCTTGCAGGTGTCGAACATGTGACATATTTTAGGAGAATTTCCAAAGATTTAAATTAACCTCGTAAAGTTACAAAAAAAAAAAAATGTTAGTATATTTTTTATATTTGTAAATTATAATCTTATTTTGAATAATTTTTACTATTAATTCTGGGAGAAGTTAAGGGGAAAAAAACCTGACAAACTATCTAATTTTAAATGATTAAGTCCATGAATTATTTTTTTGAATGAAAAAACCATTAAACTTTATTATTTTGAACGATTAAGTCTTTGAACTATTATTTGAATGAAAAACCATCAAACTTTCTCATTTTGAATAATTGAGTTCCTAAACATTTGTTTTGGATAAATAAACCATCGACTTTCTAAAAATTTGTTATCTACATTTTTTTAAAAAGCTACACTTGACTGACTAGAAGGTTATAATGTACAAAACAAACCTAAATCAGTTTTATCGTTTCCAAACCCTACGTCATTAAAACCCTCACAAACAACGGTATCACTTCCCTTCATCACTTTCCATTGCACCGACGTTTCCAGACCCTACCATCGATCTCCCTTTTTTTGATATATTTTTTATCCATAAAAAAGATGGATAATAAAAAGATAACCGATTACAAATAGATTTTTGGGTCAAAATAATATAAGTAAACCAAAATCTCCAAAGTTCGATACTTTACATTATTGAAGAAAAAAATGTTTAGTGATTTAATCTATCAAAATGAGAAAGTTTAATATTTTTTCATTCAAATAAAAGATTTTAATGATTTTTCATCTATAACAAAGAAGTTTAACGGTTTTTTCAAGACTTAATCATTTAAAATAAAATTTTAATAGTTTTTTTATTTAAAAAATTAATTTAAAGATTTAATAATTCAAGATATAATAGTTTATTTGGGTTTTCTAAAATTTTATGAGTTAATTTTTGATAAAATTGTCCCCTCAATGCTCCGTACCTTGGGCATTTTGTACAGCACTCCAGTACCAATTTACTTTAACCACCCGACGACGACGTTTCGTCGTCCTTCTCTACTTCCAAGTTCCAAGTCCCAACAACGCTCTCGCTCTCTCTCTTCCGGAGAAGCACCGGTCAGTGGTGCTGCCGTCTGCCACCCCTCCCACCACCACCACCACCCATCTCCCTCCGCCCTTCTCCCCTCTTTCCGTTCTTTTCCATACGACTCAAAAGACAGACGGTTTGCCCTTATTCTTCTCCATTCTAACCCCAAAGGTATGACTAATTTCTTTTGAACTTAACTTTTCAAAGATTTATCGTCTGGATTCGATTTTAGTGTTTCAAATTTTGTTGATTTGTTCTCTTATAGTACAATCTGTAGAACTGTGTCATCTTCTGTGTGCCAAATTGTTCATGAAATTTTCGCTCTGCCATGGACTTCGGGGTTTCAGACAGCAGTGGTGAGTCATCACCTCCAAAATCATATCTTTGTATTACACACACACACACACACACATATATATATACACACACGCCTATTTATGTCATTAAGACACTATCCCGTTTAACGAAAAACCCCCTTTCATGTTCTTACGTGATAACTAATATAGGGTTTGTTATGAATTCGTTTTTGTGATTCGTTCTTGGTAACCGTGGAACTGTGGATCCTTTCTCCAGATTTGAAGTTCGAAAAGATAATGGAGTTTAAGATTCTTGATTTGACTTTTTAGGGTTTTAGGGTTTGATCTGACAGTGGGTTCGGATTTCAGATTAGGGTTTGTTTTATTTTGAAAGACACAGGATGAGGGCTAATCAAACAAGATTCAGACTTCATTGATATTGAGATTGTACTATACTCTAAATCTTGAATCCGCTCCTTAAGGCCATAATTTGGATTAAATTCAGTTCTGACTTCTGAATGTGCTAAAGACCCTGGAAGCCCTTACTATAGATCCTCTCTTGGGGCAAGATGAAATTTACAATATAAGGGCAACTCCACCCTTCACACCAAAAAAAACACACCAAATAAGTGGGCCATAAACACCAAAAAGATACTCAACTCCAACCTTTTGCCGTCCATCTCTTCCATGGCAAATTTGCCGTTCGTTTCCTTCCTCCGGCAAAACTTTGGTGTATTTGGCGTGCGATTGGATCCAAAAGAACGGCAAAACTAGGGTTTTGCCGTTCGATTGGAGTTGCTCTAAGTCAACTAAGATCCTTCTCGGGTAGTCTTGTTAAATTTGTGTTATCTTTATCATGTGGATGATGAAATGTATTCTGTCACATACTCATAGCACATGTATGGTTAAATATAAATAGATCATATCGGTGTGTAATTCATGTTGGATTGAAAGATATTGTTGATGATTCAAGAAAATAAATGACCAAAATTTGTGTAGGGAAAGGATTTATCGTTGGGTGCCTAGCCTTCTTCCTTCAGTTTTAGAAAAGCTAGGAAAATTTAAGCTTCATTGCTCATAAATTGAACATCTATCTTGTATCCTTATTGTTTAGGGATACCCTTATAAAGACTTTTAATTTCTGTCTTGCAGTCGTTTTTCACATATATTTTTGCAACACAAAACGTTTTCCATTATTATTAATTTATAGAACCAACATAAGATCCCATTCTTCCTCATATAGATAGGGTCTAGGTTCAGGGGAAAACCGCAAAAAAAAATATGAAAAACTGAGAAACACCCGGGTAACACCATTCATCTATGCGGTGTATACATGTGCATACAAGTAATTTGTCCGGCATGAACATGTGCATAGAAACCAAGAAACAACTTCAATTACTTGTATGCACATGTGTATATCATATAGATGAACGGTTATCCGGGTGTTCCTCAAATTTTCATTTTTTTGGGGTTTTCCCCTGAACCTCTCTCTATATATAATATCCTGAAGTTATGTTAGAAAGTCCCTTTTCTTGATTGTTTTATTTTTTGTATGATAACTGCAGGAACAGATGACGACCTTCCTCCTCCACATCAGAACAAATTCCGAAGTGGGGGACCTGGTACTGGGAACGGGAGAACAATGGCAGTCGGCAATGCTCCATTCCCTCGAATTCAAAATGACATGGAGACACAGATCCACCTTATAGAACAAGAAGCATATAGCTCGGTTCTGCGAGCCTTTAAAGCTCAATCTGATGCCATCACTTGGGTAAGCCTTTCGATAACATTTCATTGCAAATATAGTTTATCAAGTGACGTTTGGCTCAATGGTATCTGTGAATTCTGGTCTATGTTGTAAACTATATTATACGACTTTAAGGATCTTATGTTGTAAATATTATAGGAGATGGAAAGTTTGATAACAGATCTTAGGAAGGAGCTGAGAGTGTCGGATGAAGAACACAGAAAGCTTCTATCTAAGGTTAATGCCGATGACATCATCAGAAGGATCAGGTATGATTTGTCAAGTATCTATGATTTCATGCGATTATTATCTATGGCAATTGTTTATCATGTTATGAAACAGGGAATGGAGGAAGACAAACGGGCTTCAACCTGGCATGCTCAATAGTCCTACTGCTTCTGCATCACGTAAGAAACAGAAGACATCCCAATCTGGGCCTTCGTTATCCGTGGGTCCACCACCTCCGGCACTGCACCAGCCAATGCCGCCATCTTCCTCAGCCTTGAACCGTTGCCCTGGTTCAGGAATGAGGGGAAAGAAACCACAATCTGTAAGATGAACTGTCCCAAGCTCCGATTTGTTCTTCCCATAATGGCATATAACATATTGTGGGATTTAGATTTTAATGAAGTCGTTGCAGTATGGTTCAGCAGGTTTCACCGGCAGGGATCAAGTTCCTAAGCAGGGGTTTGGTGGTGCATTTAGTGCAAACGGAGTGGATGAAGACAACAGCTCTGATCCTTTGATCGGAAGGAAGGTTTGGACAAGATGGCCCGAAGACAATAACTTCTATGAGGCTGTTATAACAGACTTCAATCCCGTCGAGGTATGCGTTGGTCCAAGTGACACCCGTAAATCTTTTAAGTGAGAACCTAAGAAACAACTATTCATGTTTTATTCATAATGAAGATGCATACGATTCATGATGAATGACATGATTATTCAATACATGAAATAGTTGGTTCAAGATTCTCAAAATATTTGTTGTTCTTATTTGAACTTTCCTGGTGCTACACAATATTATATTCTTTGGCCCGTTGTCTTTGATTGATGATAATTTTCGATTTCAAATGTTTACAGGGACGTCATGCTCTCGTATATGATGCCAATACCCCAAATGAAGCTTGGGAGTGGGTTAATCTTAGAGAGGTTCGTAGCAAGTTTTTATGCCAATATGGCTCGTTGTCTTTTTGTTCGACTTTTTTCTTCAATTGCTTGTCAAATATCTAAAATAAGGTTCTCTTATTTCGACAGATATCTCCAAATGATATTCGCTGGAAATGGGAGGATGTCGGCATTTCTCATAGAGGTGGCCGAAGTGGATCTAGTCGAGGGATGAAGAATCCTACAGCCCGTGGTGGGACCACTGCAGGTTCTGGAAGAGGTAGAGTGATTTCAAAGGGTCAGTCCAAGAAAGAACTACCTCCATTGCAAAATAACGTTGCAAAGAAGCCGTTGCATGATATCGAAATACTCCACACCGATACCCTTGTTAAGGAGGTATATATGCCCTACACCTGAATAAAAATCTCGTTGTCTCCTAATCCCATATCCCCTAGATGTTTCACCAATCAAGTGAAGACACATCGTCAGATAGAGAGGAAAACACGAATTAAATAAATTTATGTAAAATGAAGTAGTTACGTGTGTTCATGTGATTGGTGGGACCAGGGAATTTTACCCGCATCTAACATATCCTGTTTCGTTAAACAGATAGACAAAGTGTTCAGTTCAAGCAAGGCGGATCCGATGGACATTGAGAAGGCCAGAAAAGTGCTAAAAGTAAGAACTAGTCTCTTATTTCCAACATACGTTTACATTTCGTGGATTAATTTACTGTTTGCTAATCTTGTTCGTGATTTAGGATCATGAACAAGCCCTTGTGGATGCTATCGCAAAGCTTGAAGGCACGTCGGATGGTGAAAGTGGTAATAACTGACTGATAACACATAGTAAAATGCATAAACACAGACTCATCAATATTTACTATTGTATGATTCAATCGATATCAAAGATTTCTGGTTCCGATATATGTAAATAATCAGCCCCTGTTGGCAAAACATTAATTGCTATTATTCAATTTCGACCCATGTTTCAATCGTCATCTTTATTGATATCTAGAGCTCCATTGCTTCTTTCTTTCTTCTTTTTGTCTTTTGGATCTTTTTCTTGTACCATTTAACCACAATCTTGAATCCACATGCCACCAACATTTATGAAATCAAGCTGAATTATTGAAGCAAATCATTGCAATCATGGGTCTTCGGCTAATCTGCTGTACTTTTTTCGTGTTGTTTTTGTTCCATTTTTCGTCTTCTGATCTGGAATTTGATCTGCTGCTGTATTAAGCAGACAGGGAAGACCGGGATCAGTTATCACATCTGCAAAAGCAATCAGTTGAGATGGGAAAAATATCGAGAAAACATGAAGTGGGTGAAGGTTCGGATGGCAATAAGGTGGCTATGGAGACAAGAGATGGACTTAATCAGCCAAATGGGGGCCAAGACATGCAATAACTGTATGTACTTGGCTACCCCTTTCAATCATGTGGTGTACCATATCTGATATCTCACATTTTGTGATTAGCTATATTGATGATAACAGCTAGATTTGGTTATCTTGTTCATCTTACTGGTAACAATCAAAATCCTTGTAATCTAATGTATCTTATGATTTCAACATTTCAAAGATTGTTAAATCTCTCTGTTTCTTGGCATATTCAGTAATTATACTCCTGCTTGTATCTTATGCAATGGTTCCAGAACTTTGGCCAGAATTTTAACTCAAACGGATTGTCATCTCACTGATTGATTTGGCGGTGAAACAGACCATGGGTTCTTTCTGATATTGTAATGTGAATATGATGGTGCGACTGTGATGTGAATATGACCTGCTGTAGATTTGAGTTTGTGTTTTAGTTGCTTCATAATCCAAACCAATCTGAGGGTTCCCCTTCACGAATGATGATCAGCAGATCCTCTAAAAGAAACCAAAAGGGTAGCTTAAACTCGCAATCCACTTTTTCTACCTGAGCACCGGCAAACTGAGAAGCATCTGCTGCACATGAAATCCATAAGCAGAAACACATATATAAGAGAGTTTAAGGCCTATTGGTAATTTTATGAGATTCTGTAAACATGGATGAAGCAGTAAATAATAAAAAAACTCAAAAAGGGTGCTTAGATCAACCAAAAGTGTCCACCTTGTTCATAGATCTGAATCTGAGATATTGTTTAATACTTTATATCTAAATATAGAAGGAACAAACATACCTATTGATCTGTCACCACATGGAAGAGCAAATGAATTTATTTTCCAGGCTCCATTAAAATCAATCAAATTTCAATATTCAATATCAGGATCCCTAATGTAATTTCTGATTAAGTCTTGATAGGAAAGATAAAACCCCAAGAAGATAGAAACCCAAAGGAAATGGTTAAAGATATTAAAGGAAACAGTACCTGCAGAAGAACCCAGAAGTAAGATCTTGTCAGCAGAGAGATTCAGGAATGCCCATCACAGACAGCAATCATATCTTTAATTTCTTGAAACCCTAAAGGAAGTCTTCCCCTATCGGCTTTATAGTCAAAAGTTACAGCTTTATATAACCTTTACTGGCCAACTCGGCTGCAACGCTTGATTGACAACCACCCGATAAAGACCAGAATCTTGTTCTTGATCTCCTCATAATCATCATCTTCTTCAGGCTGGAAGATCCTTGTTTGTAGCTTCGGTAGGTCACTAGTTTCAATTATACACAACTCTATGCTGTCTGGTTAAGTGTCTGGGAGTACAAAGGGGGGCTAATGTTGAGTCGAACAGCAAAGAGAGGTTGTGTGGTGATGACTAAACCTAATTGTAAGGTAATGGGTGTGATAGTTCTTAGAATAGAAGGTAGTGGGCTTTATCTTTGCTGTATTGTATAAGTCAATTACCCGAAATGGAAATTGTCCCATTATATGCATATTTCATACTTCTCCAAGTCTTTAACAAATCGTATTTTTTTATTTAATATACATCAAAAAGCTTTAAAAAATATTTAAAATATCACATAATAATTAAATAAAAGTTAAGAATCAAAACTAAAATTTCTGATTCATATAAATCTTTTCAACATTTGCAAGCCAAGTTGCTGCATAGGATATTGGGGTCCATTTCTTGAATATAAAATTTAATTTTGATAATTATATTACCATTTTATATACATTATTTTATTGATCGGTAATCTATTTTATACATTAAAATGTTAAATCTAAATAGAATTTTAAATTATTAATAATTTAATAATGACATTATAACTATTAAATTATATATTTAAATAATTACTTTAAACTTAGGACAACACATATCAAAGGTTTAATAATAATTAATATAGATCTGATACTCGAGATAAGATGCAATGGACTCCAGCTTCAGATGAAGACTTCTTCTCAGTCTTACCAATGACGCTTGTGCAAACAGATCCAGACGATGTTAACCGGTTGTAACTAGATCGTAACCGATCAGGCCCAACCGGTTACCCAACAAAAGCACATGTTGCAGAGTCTACGACATGTATTTTTGTCTTTCTTAAAACTCGAATTGTTCAAATTTAAAAATAAGTTTTTATGCAAATTTTACATGATTAAGTTGTCATAATCGTCGATTAAGTTACAGACCACAAAGAACTAAATCTACCAGCCGGAACTTCAAAACTTTATTCTCTACACAAACCTGCCTGCTGTATGTTGCTAATGTTTGTCCGTTGGAATGTTAAGATCTTTAAACAACGGACTGTCAACTCCCACGCCCATTGCATTCAGCCCGTTGTCTACGTATATAAGAGCACCCGTAATGGCAGAAGCCAATGGTGATGCCAGGAATGCAGCAGTGTTCCCCACTTCATCTGTTTCATTTATTTCTCAAACTTCAGCAAAGTGTGTGAACAACGCAAGTATAAGAGTAATTTAATTATAATTTTGTTGTATTTTTCTAAGCTCTAACCAGATTACCTGCAGATAGTTCTTTCTGTAGGGGGGAATTTGCAAAAGAGTAATCAATCATCGTATCTATGAAGCCGATTGCTTTAGCAGCACGGCTTCCCAGTGGACCTGAAAGTTTTTCTTTTATCATTCTGGGTATGATTCAATGTGATACAGGGTGCAGAAAAACAGTATATACTCGCACGAATAGATCAGAGAAAGATGCCATGTATGTATATAATATAACAGGGGCATAATCAAACAAGAACCTCAAAAAGGCTGAAAATGTGTTGTTTCACATATCACATGAAACAAATACATTGCGAAACAAATATATGTGAACAAATACCTTGAATCCTAGGCTTAGATGAGGAAAAAATCATGTGAAACAATACATTGAGATTTGAGATTGGTTCTCACCAGTTCATAACATTTTTCTGGTTCTCTCATGATTAGGTCCCTAATAGTAATAGAACATGTATAATAGGAAACAAACAAATGAAAGAAGTGATAAAATCACCTGCAGATATGGTGTTGACCCTGATTTTATGTTTTCTTCCTGCTTCAAAAGCAAGCACCTAAACATAACAATAGATTGATATCAAGCATAAAACTCAACACTGATTTGATATCGTACAAGACTTGATGATGATGAAAAGCTTACTCTGGTGTCACTCTCAAGTGCGGCTTTTGCTGAACTCATACCCCCACCATACCTGTGTTATATACAATATATGTACAAGACTCAATATAATGGATGTGCGTAAGTTATGAAACATAAATAGGAAAATGAATGGTAAAGGATATTTACCCTGGAATGATCCTCTCAGAAGCAATGTATGTAAGAGAGATTGAGGAACCACCTGCAGACGCCCCAATCAGCATTATTTTTTAATATAGCACAGATACATATACTAAGATGGAATGATGGAATACCATGATATGTAGGAAGAAAGTGAAAAGCTGAAGAGCAAGTGGCATACCGGGGTTCATAATTGGAAGGAAATGCTTGAGCAAAGAAACATAAGAATAGCTTGATGCAGATACTGCAGCTAGATAACCTTTCCTGGATGTCTCCAACAGAGGTTTCATAACCTAACATCATATTGTGCATTTGCTAAGTAACAAGAAAAATGGTGTACATCAATCTATGTTATTCAGGTTCAGAAATGGCCAACCTCTGGCCCATTGGCAAGCGAGTGCACCAGAATATCAATACTACCAAAGTCTTGCTTTACTGATTCTGCAACTTCCTGTATAGCAAAAGCACATATCAGTAAAGCCTGTAGATAATTGGATATACGGACAGAAGGAAGTGAAAGAATCAGACTTATAGGATCATCTGAATTAATACTTTAGAGTGTTTAACAAATTTAATGATAAATCAGGTGATTGTTAAAGGGTGGCCTTCACAACCCCATCCAACAAAATTAATGGCATAAAAAGATGATAATAGTGCTAGCAGGCACCTGCACAGTCCATTTACTTGATCCCGCATAACGTTTGTTTGCTTTTATCTGCATGAAGTCACATTAATACAAGTCATTGATAGGGTTGCTTGAATATTTATTGAACACTTACGTATAACAATTATATATGCTACAGTACATCTTCAGGTACATCCTCAGGGGTATCAAAGACAGCATCCAGAGGATAAACTTTAGTAATCTCCATCAGAGAACCATCTGGCAACCTGAAAGACAACATTTTTCATTAGAAAGTCCACTAGTCAACATAAGGAAGTTGAAAATGAAAAAACAGAAACACAAGTTGAAATCTTACACACGTGATCCATCAAATTTCCCTCGCCGTAAGCTCATTTCAAATATGTTTAAAGCCTACAGCAAAGGGTCAAGAAAGAAAAGAGAGATCAAATTAAGGGCAAGTAATTTCCAGAGTCAGCTAAAAGTGCCACCACAAGTTTTCTAATTTACTTACAGGCACCCATGTCCCAACAAGAATTTCTGCACCTGCAGCAGCTAAAGATTTTGCAATAGCCCAACCATATCCATTGTCATCAGCAATACCAGCAATAAATGCCCTTTTGCCTTCACATACGAATTTGAACGGAGCAAGAAGTTACATTTATAGACGGACCTAGAGGGGTGGTTAGGTGGTACGTGCCACCGTATTGTTCCTCCGCGGTAAGGTAAAAGAAATTAGGTTCGTGAAAGGTGCAACCGTTTTATTCTAGAAGGTGCAACCGTTTTATATGGTGCCACCGTATCCAAAAATTCTTGGGTCCGTACATTGCATCAACTCTATAAAATGGCACTCCCTCCCCCTTCCTATGAATCTATATTTACAAGCTACAAAGCCAGAATCTCATTCATTACATAGAAATCAGTTTAAATTTCCAATGAACCAGATGATATAATCAATAGGTTCAATCACCCATGGTAAAAACACTTGGACGTAATCTAATAAGAAAACCTGGAAAGAAAAGGATCAAACCTTTCAAATCAATGGACAGCTGGGATGAAGACTTGCTTTCAGAAGCTTCAGACATTGACCTTGTAACAAACTTCTCAAATCGTGGTCGACTAGTTGTGAAACTTTTCTCAAGCTTTAGCACAGACGACACATGACAAGAGCTGGTAAGCTTAGATGAGAAAGTTCTATCAGATTCATGTACAACACCTGCCATAGTAACCCCGAGACTTCGTTGAGTAAGGAAAATGGACGGCCTTGCAGCAGTTATTTGCAGGGCAGAAGCACCAATTGCCATCATTTTCGGTATATGCAATCTAGCAAGGAAAAGGGAAATAAATTTGAATCTTTGCGTCAGATAAAAACATATGAACTTATACATATAGAGCTAACTACCTTATGATTGGTCAAAAGTCCATGATATACAAACAGCTTTACCAAACCCAGTATTCAAAAACTAGAATTCCTTTTTATTTTAAGCATCGTTCTTATAGAAAAATTCCCACCCGTATCTAGATTTAATCACTGAAACGCATGATGCCGCACGCATCACTCCTCACGACATGACAACAGCGTTCTCACATTTGATCGAGCAGTCAACATGAAGTTGGTCTATAAAATGCGTAGGCATTTGAAGAACGGGACTTAATATTCTGTTCAGATATCATTGTGGGAATGACTGTGAGAGTGCTAAAATACGGTTTGAATTACAGTCCCAAATTCATATGCTTTAGTTACCCGTAGACCTTGGATATGAATTAGGAAACATTCTATACAGCCTAAGAAGATAACCGCATAAAATCAAGCTCGTAAGCGAAAAATCCTATGATTATAGAATGAAAACCGCTAAACCCATGAAACTGAACACAATTTCGACCCAAATTGTCCACATTCAAAGCTGATAATACAGTAAAGTTGAACTTCAACAATACATGGCCAAAAATGTACTTGTTTTTGTGGTTATGAGAGATATACAGAGAGAGTAGGGAAGCTTACTTTGCAACAGGAGGCGCCAAAGCTCAAAGGTGGATCTATGTCTGTTGTTGTGTGCGTGAGATAGAAGATGGAGTCGATTTTGCCAACCAAATTGGGCAAAGGGTTGGGCTTTTACATAACATAACCCCATTAGAAAAAAGCCTTTCATGGATCATATAATAAGTTTATGGTTTTCATTTATTTTATAAATTTATATTTATATTTCTAAAACCTACTTACTTTTAAACATTTTAGTAATTATTTTTGTTTACAAATTATTTACTTATGTAACATTACTTTGTATACAAGGGTTGGGTTCACGTGAGACTAATCTGTTTTCATGAGACAACTTTTTTACACTTGAAATTTCATAACAAAATTTTACAAAGGTAAAAAAAAACCGAACATTCACATGATGTTCTCACGTGATCCCAAGTCTTGTATACAATATATATATATATATATATATATATATATAGTAAATACTGACATATATTCATTATTTTTGTAAGTTTTAAACTATTGATATTTTTTTAAATCAGGACTCTATCTGTAACTCATATACCACTACGACAATGACCTTTTACTATCTTATTTCTTTTTTGTTGTCATATCAGTTATCAACATTACGTTTTGTGTTTTCTTATTTGTTTCAACATGTTTTCTTCACATTTTCCCCTTGGTGACTTTTCTTATACCACACATTGATGTATTTTTCCACACTATTTTGCAGTTATTCTCATGTGTCATTTGCATTATAGCTTCCTTTTCATTTTTGAATTGAAATATAAGGACTTCATAAAAACAGTCTCTTCACCTATTTGAATAGATGAAATGTGTGCATATATCATGTCTTCCAAGTGGGATGTTGTGGATTTGTTTGGTTCGGTTATTTTTTTGTTTACAGATCATAATATGTTCTTCAAATAAAGCTTTCGAAAGTAGGTTTTCACTGGGAAAAAAAAAGTGGAACAAAATGTGTTCAATTGATGCAATTTGCTATTTGATAAAAATAAACTAGTGTTATATTATCCTATTTCCTCTGATTTTTATAAATAAGCGTAATCTCACATGTCTTAGGGTGTATCTGGTTGCAAAATATTGATAGAATGATAGATTCATTTGATCAATTTTCCTTGATTTATCTGAGTTGACAAAGTTAAAACTGATTCGATTTTATGAGATTTCATATAAGTTATACCACGTAAATTATTTATTTTCATTTTATTACTTTTGTGAAATAATTCAATTGCATATATATATATATATATATATATATATAGGGGCTGGTTCAAATACTAACCCAATATTTCGTGCAAACTATGCTAACCCATCTTAATCGTTCATTTTCTAATCTAACGGTTATTATTAAAAGAGATTAAATAACCAATAATTTAATTAATATATTAATTAATATGTATATGAACAATTGTTCAAAGGATAAATTGGTCAAAAATTTGTATTAATTAATATGTGTATGAACAATCGTTCATCTTCGTGTCTATATCAAGGTATGAACATTCATGTGAACCCTATGGTGTGAACATCAAGGTATGAACATTCATGTGAACCCTATGGTGTG